TTGAACCCACAGCACTTCTGCCAAATCTGTCTTATGTCTGAGGAGCAAGTGAAAGCCTTAATCCCCAACCTTCTCATGCCCCCACCCTCCTCCAAAGAAAAGAGATCTTAAGGAGGGTAGACTTAAGGGAGTTCCCCATGACATGTAAACTAGAGAGAGCTTAGTCTTTTGTCCTCAATTCTGACCTGATGGATGAAAAAATGCCACGTGATTACAAAACTATTAACCAAGAGCTTTGCAGAAATGACTGCTTATGTTTAGGTTCTCTATTGAAAGAAGCCACAAACACATCTGTATATAAAGGGCCCTGCCTATATGTCTCTTTGTATTATGTCAGGGACAGCTTTCATGGGGTGTGAGCCTATTTCCAGCCCTTTTCTCTACCACATCTACAGAAGGGAATGCTCTTTTTCCTCACTATTATAACTTTAATGGTTTCCCCCTCGGGCAGCATGCTCCACTTTACTACTTTGTCTTTTTAAGTTGCTCTTTGAAATGTTCTGTTCAGCTCTTTCTTGCATCATTTCTGCCATTCACTTTAGCCATGTTTCTACCAATGGTAGGATTTAGTCTCTTTGGTGTCCGCCTTGGTCATTCTCCCTTTCCTGTCTTGGAATGACGTTGCTTTCTTCATGCGTGATTTACTGATGTAATTCCACAGCTGGTCCTGTTTCCTGTTGCTGGAGTTCAACGCATCATATCTGTTCTGGAGATGGTCTGGACACTCATGTGGGACGGATGGGTCTCAGGTTGCATTTGAGCTCTCATGTAGTTGATTCATTTCTTCGGCTTTGTGGCCCCAGCTTCATTTTTGGCTGCTGATCATGAGCTCCTTGAAAGTCTCTCTGATGTTAGGGCTGAAGTCGGAGCATTTCATTCCAGGGAGGGTGTGCTTAACACTCAAGTGCAAAATATATAAATCAATAAAACTTCAGAAAATGCCTCGAGGTCATGTAACAATGAAGTAGACCCTCTTGCCCTCAGGGAGAGAGCATTGGAGAGTGGATTACCTGCCCCTCCTACAGAGAGTCCATGGCGGAGCTGTCCCTGAGTGGACTGACTGGTGTGTCCTTGATGATGGGCCTGTGCTGCAGGTGGCATCATCAGGAGACGGACCCTAGCACCTTGGCCAGACGGCCTTCTTTGGAAGGACCAGTCTTCTACGCTCCATAGACCATGGAGTAATGGGTCCCAATCTTGGCCTCCTCAGGCTTCCATAGCCCACCCCCACCCCTCCTTTTGTAATTGACCATCTTTTACCGGCTCATACATTTGACAGTCTCCTGAATTCCATGACTTCGTTGAAGTGACATCCTGTCTCTGAATTGTCGGATGCCATCGTGGCTTCATGCTCAAGGCGTCCCTCAAGTGTTTGTGGCTTCGTTTTGTCTTTGTGTCCTTTATGACTGAATACATGTTGTCCTTAACTTATATTTGGGACAGCGGTCTCTTTTGTATTGTAAAACATTTCCTACAGATGTAGTCGATTTGATTTCTGTGAATTACAATGGTAGAAGTCCACGTGTTCACTGCCATTTGTGTCGTTAAAAGAAAGGCATGTGTGGTGAAGGAATCATTGTGTTGTGGGTTCAGGTAAATTACAGACACAACAACGTCTTGATAAGTTAGAAGAGTTGTTTTGGGTTTTTCCCCCGGTTACATTGGGACTGCTAGAATGAAAAAGCAGATCTTGTTTGTAGTCCTGAGTGACATTTCAGTCCATCTTTAAAGGCAAAAACTAATTTAGAATCTGTCTAGCACGTAAGAAAGTGTGGAAAGAAGCAGAAAGTGAAATTAATATCATGATGCTTTAGAGTTAGTGAGCGTTACAGCGTACAGCATTGATAACATCCAGGTTAATAAAATAAAAATAGCAGTATCCTGGTTATGACAACAAAGGGAACAATATTACTAATAAAAGTGTTCTGATCTTGATTCCATCAGGGTATATTTAAAGCCAGTCACTAGTGGGACTTTCTGAGATGGAAGGGGAAGGAGGTAGGTCATTCAGCAGTCCACAAGATAGCGTTAGGGTGGCTAAATGCTAGTCTGTCTCAATTGTCTTGGCAAAAGCTACCCTGCGATTTCCTGATTTCTTTCTATCACCAAGATCCTGTTTTCCAACTGCTTTTCCTGCATCTCTGCTTCCTAATTTCTTATTACACTTACCAAGAATTAGCTCTGCCTCTTGAAAACTTGGAAGGTCAGTTTCATGCTGAAGTGCTTGGAAGAATTCTTCAATTTCTTCATTAGTGGTTGGAAATTTGACTCTTCACTGTATAGACAAGACTTTCTTGTACTCCCATAAATATTATCCCATCACACAGAGTGTTCTAGTTCAATATAGACCTAAAATTTTCCAACTGATGAATGCGTAGTCATCCCACTTGAATTTGTCTTTCCTGCGTAGTACGCCTTGGGATGGTTTGATTCAATACGCAACCACCGTATTTCCTACTGAGCTTTGATTTCTCCATCTCCACAGCTGCTGAGGTCATTGCCACCATCGGCCTGGCCATCTCGGATTCCACAGCCTCGGGACCAACTTGAGTCAGAGGAAGCACCACTTTTGAAATCTAAGACCTCCCTGGACCGTGCCTGCCTCTCTCACTGTGCGTTGATAAGAGGAGTGGCATAGTCAGAAAACTCCCCTCCAGATTTCGGAGTGCCGGGACAAGCAGCGTGGCTCTCCCAGAAGTCTGAGCAGAGCCCTCCCTCTTTCCATTCACAGGTCAGGACTCCCTTTGGAGCGATTGATCAGCATGAGCAGCAGGAACCCACCCAGACTCCTGGACCTTGCCATCCAGAGTGTGTTGCAGGACGAGAACTCAGCCATTGCTGCACTGGAGTGGCTGCCCACACAACTCTTCCCCCCCTTGTTCATGGCCGCTGTTGTTGGGGGACGCAGAGAGACAGTGAAAGCCATGGTGGGGTGCTGGCCTTTCATCGGTCTACCACTCGGGGCTCTCGTGAAATCTGGGCATTCTGACCAGGACATCTTACACGCGGCCCTGGATGGTTTCCATGTCCTGCTTACCCAGAAACTCCCACCAAGGAGATGCAGACTGAGAGCGCTGGATGTCCGCCTGGACACGGACACCAACTTCTGGAAAGTGTGGTCTGGAAATGAATCCATTGCCTCTGTGCCCTCATCAGAGGATCCAGTGACCACCCAGCCCCGAACTAGGACTCAAAAAGGGAAGGATTCCAGAGCAGGGGAGAAGCCTCAGTCCTCCACCTCCATGGTGTTGCTCACAGACCTGCGTTTTCTTGATACAGCCCCAGATGAATTGTTCACCGTTCTCATGGAAAGGGTCAAGCAGGGAAAGGACCTGCCACCCCTGTGCTGTAGGAAGGTAGAAATTGTAGGCGGTCTATCGGAACTTCCCGTTATTGAGAAGATCCTGAATGTGGTGCAGCGGGATGCTGTCCAGGAGGTGGCATTTCACTGCTGGTGGAACCTGAAGAGCCTCAACTGGTTTGCTCCTTTCCTGTCCCAAATGGGTCACCTGAGCACACTCCATCTTTCCCGAATAAGCCTGGATTCCCTGGGATCACGTACCGTGGATAAAGTGGCGAAGCTACTTGCAAAATTGACCTCTCACCTCCTTAGTCTGCATCAACTCCAGCACCTCATTCTGGAAACTGTGTTCTTCCTCAATGACCACCTCTGTCAGCTGCTCAGTTGCTTGCCTACCACCTTGGAGTCCCTGACCTTGAAGTACTGTGTGCCTTTGGACGCTGACCTGTCAAGTCTGCACTCTTGTCCTAGCACCAGGCAACTAAGGTCCCTGGACTTGAGTGGTATGTTCAGGGCACGCTCAATGAGGGCATACCTCCCAAAGCTGCTAGAGAGGGTCTCAGCCACCCTGACCCACCTAAGCTTAACTGACTGCGGCATCAATGACTCTGAGCTCACTGCCTTGCAGCCTGCTCTGGGCCACTGTTCCCAGCTCAGCACCTTGCTGTTGGGTGGAAATCCAGTCTCCATGGCTGTCCTGCAGGGTCTGCTTCAGCACACTTGGCCACTGTGCAAGTTCTCCCTTCTGGGACTCCCTGTCCCTCAGGATTGCTATGAGGATCCAGAAGGTTTTCTGCACGAAGATACTTTTTTAGAGGTAATTCGGCAGCTCAGGGTGACCCTGCAGGCCTACAGGCCCCTGTCTGTCAGTTTTGTTCCCAGCACATGTGACAGAACTTGGGATGAAATCCTTCTACGCATGGACAGCTAATGTCATTACCGTCTTCTTTACCAAGTCTTCCCAAATCTAACCTCTGCTTCTGGTCTGCTGTCAAATATATGATTATTTGTGGTTAGGATTGTGAAGATTAGCTTGTCTTTGTTATGACAGTGTGGCCATTTGGAGGTGAAGATTACAGGAGGCATCTAACATCAGCGGCCTTCTCCCAGTCCTCCCTTGCTGGCTTCATATCTCTCTTCGTCTCTCTTCTATGAGACATGAACACAGAGGCCAGCAGATAGGACCCAAAAGGCAAGAGGAAAGTGTGTTCTTGGAACCCAAATCCTTGCTCTGGGAATCTTATAGACTCAGTGGAATGTGGATGCCAACACTCATGGAATCTCCAAGGAATGCATGCAGATGTTGAAGAGGGATCAGTCCCTCCCACTCCATTTCCACTCCATTCTGTTCAATCCCACT